AGGGAAAGAGCTCTTTATTCTCCCTTTTAAAAGTAAGGTGCGTGTCTTATTCTGGGGTGTGTTGCCCATGAGAAATATGGTACTCAGTGAGGATTTTTTATTGAGGTATGAGCGCTTGGAGCTGTACAAGACACAAAGGAGACAGAGACTCAAGAGCAACTTAGCTAAGAGACATATAGGATCGTAGAGCCCTAAGGCTGGAAGGAACTTGAAGGGTCATCTAATCTAAATCCCTGAACAGATGCTGGATGCACTCCTCCTATGCCAGGTCAAAGCTGGACCACCCCAGGGGAGCAGTGTTCTTGGACAAGGATTTGGTTCAGTCCCAAGGGATCTGGGAGTAGAAGGGAGCTGTACCAGGAGCAGTGCCCCTGCCTCCAGGAATGGAGCACATGGCACCAGCTGTCCAGGGTTGCCATCCTTCCCCGTCCACCCTCAGTACAGCACCTTCTCCAGGTAGGTGTTCAGGAACATCCCTGTAGGATCCAGCTTCTCCCGGATGGAGCAGAACTTCGGGAAGCCGGGGTATATCTTCTCAAAGTCCGTCCGGGTGCAGGCGTGAGCCTGCAAGAGAAGACCCCACCTGCTGCTTACCACTCGCTCGCCCATTTGGAGCTGCCATGAGGGCAAGGCTGAGACATGCGCGTGCGTGCGTGTGTGTGTGTGTTTATACATGCACCTTCACCTTGCTGGGCATTTTCCAGATCACAAGCACATCAAGATGCTCTATAATGACCCAGCCTGTCCTTCCTGTGTTCTTCCCAGCCTGGAAACAGACTAGGTCCGGTCCAGTCCAAGTCTGGTATTGCCCCCTGAGTGCCAATGCAACCAGCCATAACGAGGGGTGAACAGCTGCACAGAGGCCTGCTCTGAACAGGGGGATGAGTCTTAAGGAGAGGCTATCAGCGGAGACCAGGCTATCCCCACTCAAATAACAGGGTTTTCTTTAGGGAGGGGTCTTAATCACCACATGTCCCAGGCTTTAGGGGACCACTGGGCCTTGTGAGATGTGGCTCACAGCTAAACCTCACCAGCTTATGTCCCATCTCCCTTTGGCTCCGAGGAACATTTACCCCACTTCCCACCATCATCCTATTGAAGGTTCTCCCTTGAACCCCATGAGCTCTTCAGCTGCCTGCAAGTATGCTGCTGGTCATCCCACCAGAGAGGTGGTGGCATCTCGATCCTTGGAGGTTTTGAAGACCTGGCTAGACAAAGCCTTAGCTGGGATGATCTAGTTGCAGATGGTCCTGCTTTGATCTTGCTGGGGAAGGGAGCTAGGCATTGGGAACCCAGCTGGGGAACTGGGGAAGGCTGGGGGCTTCCCCCTGAGGCAACGTGGGGCTAAGTACCCAGGCTGGTCCCACCACCTCCCTCCCCCTAACAGCCACCGCTCCCTCCCACTGGGTCTAAAGGCAGAGGATTCAGGAAGAACTGGTTCTGCAATCAGAGGTGTCCGCACTGCCTCCAGCCCATGCTAGCACTGCTCCATTGCCGGGGGCTTGCGCACACAGAGTGGGGCAACTGGGTGGCAAGATCTCCCGCCTCCCCACCCTGCGCTGCAGGCCTGTCTGTAGTGGTACCTTGGCCCAGTGTGGCCTCCCTCCAAACTTCTTCATGATGCCCTCGTAGGCCAGCCAGTAGTCCAGCCGGGGTACGTCCTTCCCGTAGGGCCTGGAGGCAGGGCGATATCAGTCAAGAAAGCACATTACCATATTTACTTGCATACAACACATCCCAAAGGTACTATATATCTTGTTTTTGAGAAGCAGAATAAAGAGAAAAAGATTTTCCCAGAGTTATGGCTTTAGAGAACAGGGTGATGCCATACTTTCTTGCATACAATGTGCACCTTCCCCCCAAAAATCAACCCTCCCTTTAAATTGGAGCGCATCTATTAAGCGGGGAAGGTGTAGAGCCTAATCTACAGCTCACTCATAAAAAAGTAAGAACGTAAGAACTGCCCTGTACTGCCTGGGACCATACGTCCCTCTTGCCCAGTCTCCCAAGTTACGGAGCGGCAGGGAGCAGATGCTGAGAGGCAGACTGGCATGGGTCTCACCAGGGTTTTTTACACCATTCCTCTTTTCCTTGCAGCCTCCAGCATTGAAGGTCCAGGAAGGTCTGATGCAAAGGCCATGCCCCTTGCTCTCATGCTCAATAGTGACTGAATCTGGCTGAACTTTTCACTTCCGCCGCATCTGGTGGCAACAAGCCCCACAGTTTACTGACACGCTGGATGGAAAAGAGCTTCCTGGTGTTAGCTTTAAATGGACTGCCTATTAGTTTCATTGTATAACCCCTCGTTCTTGTATGATGAGAGATAGTAAATCGTTTCACTCACTCACCCTCCCTTTCTTAAACAACTAAAATTGAATGGTCTCCATGGGTGGAGCTGTACATTTGAAAAGAGCTAAGGGGCTAAAGAGGCTGTGAAATAAGCTAGCAGACAGCCAAAATTGCCCTAAGAAAGGGCAGCTCGATTAGTGGAACATCAAGACCGTTAAAAAGGAGAGACAATTGGTAACACCGGTGGAGTGAAGAACAATGAGACATTACATCGAATGACCCCCTCAGCTGCCTGAAGAGTAACCCATAGCTGTGGTACTGAGGTGCAAGGTGTTTCCAACCCCAGGCAGAAAATCACCTTCCCCACTTAACAGATGCACTCCAATTGGAGGGGAGGGCTGATTTGGGGGGGAAAGGTGTGCATTGTATGCAAGAAAGTATGGCACCACCATGCCACTTAGGAGCCCTATTCACCAGCCCCTGAGCCTGTGGCACTCAGTGCAGACACACCAGGACCCTAAGAGAAGCCCAGTGGGAACAAGGTACAGACCCAGCACCTACAGCCCCACCTGATACCCCCACGCTGTCACCCCATGTTATAGGTAGGGAAACTGAGGCACTGGCTAGCCCTCCTGGTCCCCTGAACCTCTCCAGGTATCACCGATTAGCGCCTCCACCCACCGGATCCCACCTGTACATGATGATGTTCATGTAGCAGCTGTCGCGCTGGAAGCAGGGGCTGAGCAGGATGCTGTCTGCCCGGGCGAAGCGCACCTCCACGGGGTAGTGAGCCACCACCTTGGGGCTGCTCTCCAGTGCGGCCTTCAGCTCCAGGAGGGCATCCTTTGTCTTCTCCCTGCCCAGAAAGCAGACACCCCGCACCCCACAAAGGCAGGTGAAGCACACAGCAGCAGTGAGGAGCTATGCCAGCTGCCTGGGCTCCAGTGGGCATCCATTGCCCCTTCCTTTCCCAAGTGAGCATCGAGCTGGGAAGAGAAGCCCAGCCTGGCACACACCAAGCCAAGCCCTCCAGCTCAGGACTTGGCTCCGCTCTCCACTGACATGTGCATTGCTCGGGAGAGATTTCCCCTGCTCCTGGGATGCTTAGTCCAAGGCAAAGGCCCTCAGTGAAGCGCATCCTGGTGCCCAAGGCTGCCCCGTTGCCCCTGCAGGGAGCAGGCAGTGAGTCTGAGCTGGGAGGCTGGAGGGTGAGCGGGGCGAGTGGGATGGTGGCACGACCTATGCTAATTGGTACAGGAGTGTAACGAGAGCAGTGTCAAGGCAAAAAGGTGCCACAAACAGGAGGCAATGCCTGCGAGTCTCTGTGTCTATCAGGGGGTTCATGCTCCCAAGTGGACGTCGCATGTTGGCAAGAGGCTGGGGCAGTCGCGAGACCTGCAGTCCTGTCCGGCTCTGGCTCTCGCTGCCTGGACCGTGTGGCAAGGCTGATATAAGAGGAGGCTGCTGAGTGCTCACAGCCCCCGATGTCTTGCCGAATCTCTCCCTCCCAGACTGCCGGGCCCTGAGCTCTTGGCCTGGCGCTTTTGAGAATGGGGTTGTTGGCCGTACGGAGCTGGGCACCTGCCAGCTCCCCTGGTTTTGGAGCAGTGGAAGTTTTGGGGGCATGTGTCCCTCCCTGGCACTGCTCTGCGGAGCCTGGGTCTGGCCTAGATGTGATGGGGAGTGGGGGAGATGCCAGGACCTATACAGCCTCCATCGCTCCCGGCAAACCCTTGCAGGGTGGGAGTCACAGACACATGGACCCAGCCACCCCCCAGGATCCCGTCCCCAGCATCTCACATGGGGATGGCCCAGTCCTGGACATGCTGCTTGAAACGGCACTCGTAGTTGAAGACCTTGTAGCTGAGGTCGACCTTCTCCCCCTTGCTGGTGAAGAGGAGCCAGAAGAAGCCGCGGTTGATCCAGGGCACCAGGAAGGGCAGGAACGTGCTGCGGGGAGGACACCGGGGTAAGAGCAGCTGGCAGCGGCTCATTCTGCAGGGAACTGCAGCTGCTGTGCATGGAGTGGGACAGGAACCGCTCCACCCATGCTGCCTTCCAGCAGCCTTGGGGCATGCGAAGAGGAAGGGCTGACCCCAAAGTCACACCAGTTCTGCTGCTGTCTGTCCATGCCTATCCCAGGGCAACCACTTGCTAAAGGCAAGCAGGATGACACCTGCCCCCCCGCTGCCTGGAGCCATGGCACAGAGATATATCCTGGGATAGCTGCACATCTGCCCATGTGTGATCCCAGGGTAGCTTACACTGGAGTGCAAAACCAGTGGGGATGACACTGGGGTCAGCCATCATTTGCCTGTGTCCTCGGTTAGGTAGGAGAGCAGCAGGTCAGGATAGCAGGCCCCAAATGTGTGTGCAGGGGTGGATCCCGGGGATCCAATGATGCAGGTGCACCGTGCTTCGATTCCTCCTCCACCCAGACATTAAACCAAGCTCCTGTGGGGCAGAGGGGACTTCTACTGGGGCAGTGCTAAGTGAATCGATTGACTTTACCGCTCATTGTCATCTCCCTGATCCCTGTTAATCTCTCTCCACTTCACAGGTGTTAGCCACCTGCTCTCCTCGGTAATGGCCATTGTCAAGATCCCCAACACGGCGGCGGTATTATGAATCCAAATAAGAGATGTACATTTAACTATAATGAGACACTCTCTTTTGCCTATTTTGACTATTTTTGTCTAGTTTGTTGTGTTATTTTTTAACTTCATATAGGATCTAAAAATTTGTGACCGTTTTCACAAAGCTATATTTGTTTTTGCTTCGATCTTAAACTAAGTAATATAGTTCTCGCCTGTTAGCATATTAATAAAGCTTCTAGTTTCTCTTTAGCAGGAGAAAAATATGCACTGTGTTATATGTGACAATGTGCCACACCACCTGTACTCCCTTTTCATAAACCGAGATCCGCCCATGCCTGCGTCCAACCCACTGGGTACTGGATAGCAGGATCATAAGCCAGGAAAGTCCCCTCTGAGGCATCACCTGGGAATCCAGGGACCCAGGATCTCCGCAATCAACTGGAGGGATCCCCCAGATCACCATCACAAGCCCACCCTGTCCAGCTACACAACCGGAAGCCCCGACCCCAGCCAGCAACCTGCCAGCAGTGACAGCAGAGAGAGGTGAGCGCTGCCGATGCACCACTGCTGCATGGTGCCAGGATGGGCACTGCCCCTTTTCTCAGCAAAGCAAGGATGTTCCTAGCACAAGGGTTGAATTCAGCACAGGCGGCGTCTGTCGGACTAAAAATCCCCACCAGGTGCCCTGACAGACGGACAAGCACTGGCACCTCGGCTCTCTGGACACTGGAGGGCAGCACAGTCCCGTGCCAAATCAGAGGTGCCCCAGGACTGGGCTGCAGACTGTTTCGGGACCGGGGCATGTTTGAGGGACAGATCTTCCACCTCAGCAGCAAGGAATGGGGATGGCTAAGCCATTGCCTAGGAGTATGCAGCCCCACAAGAGCTAAACACCCAGCAACAATCCCTCCCCGCCATCTCTCTCTCTCACATGCACACATCAGATCCTTCTCGGGCACGTCTACAGGTGCGCTTTAATGCGCATTAGCCTGTTTTCATGTGAATTAAAGCATCACAAAAACCCGTGCTCTTTAGCTGATGCACATGAAAATAGGCCAATAGGTTAATTTTTCTAGTGCTTCACAGTGAAGGGTCTAGATTTAATGCACATTACCCCAAATTTATTAATTGACCATGCAGACATGCCTTGTGCCTTTGCACAGGCTGAATTCCCCCAGAATCCACAGGGCCCCTCCGTCTGCAGCACCGCCCAGCCACGGTTGTAAAGTGATGACTTACTGGTTTCATACCGTGACCCCTTGTCCTTGCGTGGGAGACAGTCAACAAGCAATCCTAGTGACTCTCTTTCACCATTTAGACTTCTGTAAGCCCTTCCCATGCCCCCTCAAGCATCTCTCTTCTAACCTGACCAGGCCTGGCCTCTGTAGTCTCTCCTCTTAGGGAAACACCTCCATGTCACTCGTCATCCTTGTTGCCCTTCTCCTCACCTTTTCTACGTTCTGAGGCGTGGGGACCAGAACTGGGCACGATATTCATGGTCCGGCCTCGCCATAGATTTATACAGGGGCATCATGACCCTTCCTGTTTTGTTTCCTGCACCAGTGACTGAGAGTGGTACCTTGCAGGAATGGGGAAACTGAGGCACACAGCCATGCACGGACTCACCCAAGGATATGACATGAGTCAGTAGCAGAGCTGGAAAAGGATCCAGGCAGCACCTAACCCAAGCCAAGCTCCTCCCCCTTCCCAATCACAGCTCCCATCACGAAGAGGAACCAGCCGATTGGCTGCTGCCATAGCCCTAGATTTACCATAGTTTCTGGTATACAACACTCTCAGAGGGGAGAAAAATGGTCTTTCCTTGAGAGCCTCTGCGGGGTGAGGTGGGAGGGGAAGAGACGGTGTCCACGGATAGCAACTAGGCAGCCCGGTGGGCAGCAGAGCCGCCTTACCTCCCATCTCCCCTGGAGCTAAGCAGCTGAAACTGCTGTTACCTTATTTCCTCAATTATAATATGCACTTCCATTTCCAGCAGCTGATTATGGGGGGTGGGGGTGGGGGGGAGGGGACAATGCACGTTCCAGTCATGAAAATAAGGTATCTTGTAGGGATAGAAAATGACCCACGGGAAATACCACCCAGGAGCTCCTGGACGGGTGCATGAACCCACCCCCTTTCTCCCCCAACACAGCGCCAGCCCCCGAACCAGGCCCTACCTGACCCAGAGCAGGAACTCCAGCAAGTAGTAGCCAATGGCGTAGTCCCAGAACCAGCTGCCCGTGGAGGAGGGAGGCTGCAAGGACAGGGCAGAAGGCTCTCATCAGACGTGCGTGGGCATCAACCAGCTGCTCTGATGCGGGTGGGTCCAGCCCCCATCCCCACTCCCGAAATGGGGCCCGGCTCAGTGGCAGCACTGGCACGGCCAGACTGGGGCTGGGCCAGGGGGTCCCTGGGGCCCCTTCCAGCCCCGGCAGGAGGACGCACCTTGCTGGTGTGATCCTGGTAGATGATGCTGACATTCTCGCTGTGCGGAAACCAGAGGAAGCGGAAGTACTCGGAGCGCTGCAGATGGCTGTCGAGGTTGTCCAGGACCTGGGCGAGTGGAGGAAGGAAAGCAGTGCTGATGGGATCTGCTGGGGCCGCTGCTTGCAGACCCCCGCCCCCTCCATGGGGAGACAGACCGGGCTGACGGGAAGCCAAGATCCAAGTGACTTAAGAAAGTTTGGCAGAGCTTGAACCCAGAACCTGTCACTCTCAGGCCTGGACCCAGAGCAAAAGACTGGACCATCCCCAAAGTCAGCCCCAGCCCCTCCTGCCCTTCCTAGCCGGCGCGCCAAGCACCGGCCCAGGCTTGGCACCATCTGTCATAGCAGCCTGGGGCCGAGACCCACCGTGCCTGGGGGCAGCAGCTGGATCTGGGCAGTGAAGGGAGCTGTCTGAGGGTCCAGACAATGCACCAGAAATCAAATCCCCAGTTCTCCAAGGCATCGCCTTTCAAAATCATCCCAGGCCAATACTAATGCATCCAGCAGCCCCACTCACCCGGATGGGGCAGGGTCCGTCTGTCTTGTGCTCTGAGACAGATGTGCCCTTTACTCTGGGGCAGGGGGGAAGTATCCTGCAGATGCCCACCCGCCCTTGCAGAGGCAGTGCGTTCACCCCACGAAGGGGTTCCCAAGAGATTTCAGCCCGGTGGAAACCACTCAAAGGACCTGTGTTTTACCCAGGAGCTCAGCGCCCCTGCCTGGGGACAGAGCAAGGGGCATGCCTGGTTGGGAAGATGCTTGGGGTGGAGATAAATAGACTCGTGAAAGTTGCGCCCAGCCCACACGTGCACCCCCATCCCTACCCCATGTGCCTCTGCTGGAGCAGGAGCTTGGAGTGGTTGGGAGCTGGGGGCTGAGGCCAGGCTGGGGCAGGTCTTGTTATAACACCCCCTCCCCTCCTGGATTAACTCAGCCCCTGGCCCAGGAGAGCCGCTCTGGGCTCCATCCCTGGCCTGGCCTCCTCCGCAGCCCCTCCTGTCTGACCACGTCTGCACCCAAACCAAATGCTCCAACCTCCACCCAGCCCATCGCCTGCTACCCCGTCCCTGGCAAGGCCTCTCTGCTCTCCCAAATATTGGCTGAGCTCTCCCCTCCCATGGCAGTCGGCCGGCCAGGCCATCCCTTCAGCAATCACTTGAAAAGAGGATGACTCCAGGATAGAAAGGTAGTAAACCAGAGAGAAGCATGGAAACACAGACAATGAGGGAGGGAAGGGACCTCAGGGGGTCACATCTAGTCCAACCCCCTGCTCCAAGCAGCACCAGCCCCAACTAAGAGCCATTAGAGTCACTGTCACAAAGACCCATTAGAGCCACTGATAAGAGGCCAGGATCGGGGCCCAAATTATTAACACTTTATGCTCCCCTTGCTATGGCTTGCCCAGGGGTCTCCAGGCTGAGACAGCGGGGCCTGAGACCTGCAAAGGATTACCGTGCTTGGAGGAGAGTCAGCGTGGGAGGGATAGACAGGGGCCAGGATCTGCATCAAATTTGGCCACGCAAACACAGGACACAGCCCACGGGGTGTGTTATCTCCACAACTTCCACCCCTGCAAGTCTCAGGGCAAGCAGCCCTTGCTCTGCCTCATTAGACAGGATGTAAGGAGGCCTTAACGAGCCATCACAGGGAACGAGACGAACGGAGGTCAAGTGACTCACATCACTAGTCCGCAGTGGGATCTGAGTTCAAATCCCGTCCCACCAAGCCCCACATCAGTGACCTGGCCAGGAGGTCTTCCTCATCCCAGGGGCTCCAGACACTCACACAGGCCTGTGGAGGTGGGGAGGGGGTGGATATCACAGGCAAGTTGCCAAGAAGAGATCCCTATAGGGGACCAGCCCGGCTCCTGTCCCGATGACCTCTCTTTACCTTACCCCCCTGACAGCTCCCTCAAGCCAAAAACCCTTGGCGGCCAAACTCTTCAGAGCAGAGCTATCCACATGACAAGGGCCCAGGACCCTGGCTTCCAGCCCTGCTTGAAGACAACATCTGCAGGGAAGCACAGCAGCATTTCCCAGCCTCTGAGGCAAAAGCAGCACCCTCCACCACAATGCAGCCACACCACCCGGGTCTCACAGCCCTGCAGCAATCAGACCAGAGGCTGCTTAGCTTTGCAAGTGCCATGCCAGGGCCTGAAGTCAAACCACAAGGGGTTACTTAGAGGCAGGGATCCCAAGCACGACTGGATGCAGAAGGACGTTGCTCAGGTAGCCTTGCCTCCTGCTGCTCTGCTGGCTCCAGGCTTTATCCTGGAGAGCCCGTGGAAGACGCCTGCCTTCCTACCCAGCCACCTTCCCATAGGAGCTGCTGGCTGGATCAGCGTAATGGAGCTGCAATGGACCTGCCAGCCGAGAGAAGGAAGCGTCAGCCCAGGGTTTTACTGGAAGCTCTGAAGAGAAACCCCAGGCCAGAGAGCAGCACAAGGCAGGCTTTAAAGAACCAGCACCCCTCCCTCCTTCCCAGACATGCACTATGCATACGGTCTCGGAGAACTCGGTTTCAAAAGTTAAAGCTCCCGCTCTCCAGTCCTGCTATTATCTTCTTCCACCTTGGGGAATCAGCCAGCACGGATGCCGAATGGATCAGGCCAAGGGCAACTGCCAGCTGAGAAGGGGATGACTATGGATGAAGGGCTGTCCTGTCTCAGATCTGCACTGCTCCACATTTCCAAGCGGCCTGCAGAGGCTGGGAACATCTCCGCCCCATTTCAGACAGGGAAACTGAGGCAGCAATGAACTGCATTGGATCCACGATGGCATCTGTTCCATGGGATGGGGCAGGTGCTGGGATGGGATGTCGAGAGAGGTCCAGAGGCAGGCAGCAGAGGGGGGAAAAGGCTCTTCCCAGGGGCCGTGCTAACAGCCTGCCAGTACCTGAAGGGCTGCCATAGAGAAGAGGGAGACCCCTTTTCTCTCTTGCTGCAGACAGCAGGATGCAGAACAAGGACTTGAAGCTGCCGCAAAGTAGGTTTTGATTAGATATCCAGAAAAACTGCTTCGCCCTCAGAGCAGGGAGGAAGTGGAATAGGGAAGGGGGACTGTCCATCACTGGAGGTGCCAAGGACAGGGTGGACAGACACTGGTTGGGGGTGATCTAGGCGTAGCGATGCCTGTGCTCTGCTATGCGGATTTCCCAGGCTTCTGGGCTTTGCTGGGTTCATAAATTCATAGACATTAGGACTGGAAGGACCTCGCAAGATCATCGGGTCCAGCCCCCTGCCCAGGGGCAGGAAGTCAGCTGGGGTCAGATCACCCCAGCAGGATAAGCAGTCAAGGAGGATGCCCCCTCCCCTCTTTTCTGCTCCATGGGTCAGGGGGGTTTCTAAGCCTACCCCAGGGGTCAAGGATGCAGTCTCTCCCGGCATGGGTTATGCTGATCCTGCCATTAATTGCTCCTTCTGCTTCACTCCTGCTGCACCGTGTGGTACGGCCTTCTGCCCCAGAGGTGGCTGCATTTTCAGTGGCACTGTAAGAAAGCATGTTGCCTAATCCCTTTCTAGGAATTTCTTGGCAAGACAAAGTTGCCTACACTGAGGTCTTGGGATGTGCTGATATTCCAGGCATCCATTCTCCTCTTAGCCAACATCGACTTTCATGGCTTGATCATAAGTGGAGAATGGGCAATGGCGAGATATATATATATATGTATATATAGATACATATACAGTCAAGGATCCCTTGTATGGAGAGCTTGTCACAGAAACGAGACCACACAGGCATGCTTAATCTCCACCGCAATGTTTGCAAGAGAGAGATGACCGCAACGAACAATGAGCCAAACGACTGGGAGGAGACTGCACTTGGAAACAGGCTATGAAGTGTGGAATGAAGGTTTTCGAGACAAGAAGAGCCCAACATGCAAAGGGAAGGAGAAACCTCACCCAGGACTGTTAGGGATGACCTCCATGTGTGAGAAGCCCTGGGGAGGAGTGTCACTCCTGCATTGCCCTCTACAACCACATCTGCAGCTGACCAGTGAGCTGATGCCTCATTTGGTGCAAATCTATTGTCTGGTGAGACAGACAAATGCCTGCTAAGGATAATGAGTGGCATGGAGGGGCGTCCATGTGCGGACAGGCCAGGTCAGTTGAAGAAAGAGCTGCTTGAGGCGGGATATAAGAAGGGTTTACTAAATGGTGAAGAGAAAGTCAACAAGGATTTACTGTTTACTGTGCGTGTCTACGCAAGACACTCACTGCGCAGTAGCCTACTAACACTGGGTAGTAGTGTGCCAGGCAAAACCCGTGCTAATACATCACTGTGCAGTGTTATTAGGCTATTGCACAGTAAGTGTCACTAAAAACCTGTGCACCGGCACTATTGCACAGTAGCACAAGTTACTGCACATTGGATTAGCACTTGGATAACCAAATACTAAGCTTAATGCGCCATAACTACAGAACATTAATGAATGTGTAGATGCACCCAGTGTCTCTTACAACACAAGAACGAGGGGTCACAAAATGAAATGAGTAGGTAGTAAGTTTAAAACAAACACCAGGAAGCTCTTTTCCACCCAGCGTGGCATAAAAGCGTGGGGCTCGTTACCACCAGATGCGGTGGGAGCTGAGCGTTCAGCCAGATTAGCACTGGGCTGGATACGTGCTCGGAGGAAAGGGGCATTAGTCACT